TACCGGCAGGTCTGTCCCGGGGGTGCCGGGTATCGGGGTGCCGGTCCCGGCTGGCGGTACCGGCAGGTCTGTCCCCGAGGTGCCGGGTATCGGGGTGCCGGTCCCGGCTGGCGGTACCGGGGGTCCCGAGCCCAGCGGAGGCTCCCGCGGCCGGGGCGGGGGGCAGGTGGCGGCGCCGCCCCCTCCCGCCCCCGGCGCCGCTCCCGGCTCGGCTCGGGTTACCTGGGCGGGCCGCGGCTCTTCCCGTCTGGCCCGTCCCCCCCGACGGGAAGTGGGAGCCGGGAGCGCCGCTCGCCGCCGGGGCCATGGAGGCGCGCGGGGCCGCGGCGCTGCGCTGGCTGCTGCTGGCGCTGGGCTGCGCGCGCGCGGCCGCAGGTGAGGAGGCTCCGCGGGCGCCGCGGCTCAGTCCGCGCGGGGGAAAATAATATTWAAAAAAAAAAAAATCGTTTCGTAATTAAATAGAAGCGTGTGAGAGCGCGCCAGCCCCGTGCGGGAAGGGGGGATGACGGGGGTGCCGCGGCTGGGGCCGCTGGAAGCCCCGATGCTCCCCACGGTGCTTCCCGGGCGCGGGCTGGGAAGGGAGCGCAGAGCGCGGCGCGTTCCTGGCAGGAAGGACCAGGACCGGGATCGGGGCCGGGATCGGGCCGGGCTGCGGCGTGCGCGCTCGTCCCCGCCGCCCGGGGGGCGAGTGACAGACGGGGCTCGGTCGCCCATGTGCCACAAGGCGAGGGCGAGCGCTTGGGCGCCGTTTGGTTTCCCTTGCCCTGTCCGGCTTCGGGGCTCCAAAACCAACCCCTAGGAGAGCCAGGAGGACAAGCCGCGACCRCGGAGCGGGATTACGAGGTGCTCCTTAATGATGGTTCCCGGTTAGGGCGCTTGGGAATGGCAGGTTTGCGTCGTGCGGCGTTACTGCTGTGAGCTGCACTGCTGGCGCCTTGCAAGCTTTTATTTATAGCCAAGGATGGCTTTTATTTATATATAGTTTCTTTTCCAGAAAGAAGTAACATTCTTTATACATTTTGTGGCAGGCCTTCAAGCTCTTCTGCTAAATTGCTCTATCCCTGAGATTTTAATAACAAAAATACTGAGATTGGCCAAGCCACTGAACGAAAGCACATYGTCAGTCAGATATAACATTAAAGCAAGCGCCTCAAAATTGTTTGGGGTAACCTAGGGTTTGGAGCGATTTTATACTAATAATATTTACTCATTTATTTACTCATTTATTTGTAAACCTTGAGTACCCCAGGTTTAACTCTGCACTGAGCAATAGTTTTGCTCGAGCTTCCAGATTTCTGTTTCAGACTTGCGGTTCATCAGAACAACGGTAAATCTAAAACCTTGTGTTTTCTCAGTTTGTGCCTTAGTAGTTAATAAAAACCTTGATCAGGAAAAAAATAGATTGCTCAGAACTGCTTCACCCTGCTCATTTTTTAACAGGATCTAAAGGAGTTAAGTGATATAACATTGTATTTGTAAACTAAGGCCCCAGTGCTGTTGCTATAAGTTCTACTAATTTTTTTTTAGTAGAAGAGATAATGGGCAAAGCTGGGCTCAGCRCTCCAAGGAAAGGCTTGGTTTTAGTAAGTTCTTTAGAGCTAAAAGTTCTCTTTGCTTGTGAGGTCCARGGTAAAAGTTAACAAAACAAAAAGCGAGTTTTGTGTATTCCCCCTCCAAAGGAGAAGCTTCAAAGAACAAGTCTCTCTGATGAGACATCCTTGAATACTTAAAAGCTGGCAATAGAGGCCGGTATAGTGTTGCTAAAAGCGGTCAGATTAAGATGGTAAAATCCTAGTAATTATTCCCATTCTGGATGCGAATATGCACTATAGAATGTGCACATGGACATGCAAACAGCAGCTCCGTATGGTGTCAGCTACAGCCTGTTCTCTAAGCACACAAATGCGTGAGAAACTTCCAGGAACTGGAGGACTTTTAAACTCCCTGTTTTGGCAGCACGGACTGCAGCGGGGTGCAGGATCCCGGTCACTGCTCTGCCCTGCAGCCCTGTGCCGCAGGGTTCCGCACCCATCCGGGCGCCATCCCRCCCTTCTTCCCCAAATCCTGGGGGTTTTGACATTGGTTTCCTACCATGTGCAAGACCTGGAGTGCCAGGTGACGTTAGTATCAAGAGCTTGTGAAACTACTGCGTAACATGGATGGTTTCTTCCCACACTCGAGTAGGTGGTGGTGCTTCGTTAATGATAGCTGTAGGTGCACCGGAGAACCATTTATTTGGCCTCTTGTTCAATGTTTTTAATAGTGCACAACACAGTAGCTTTTAATAAAACTTGCTTCCATTTCTTTCTTAGGAAATCACCCTTTGGTAGCTCTCTCCAGCATTTGATTCTGACACCTACTTTGCACCCTTTTTATCCCGGCGATGTTCTCCTCTCTACCTAACTCCCCTTCCCAACGTGGTCTCCRAACGGTGTGACCAAATACCGAGTGGGCTGTGAGTCAGAGCACGGGAGCGAGGTCTTAGATGGCTTTATCTTGGCGAGTATCTCTGAGTCAGGGCTCTCTCCCTGCTTCCGTCTTGCTTTTTGGAGGGATGAAAAAAGCGCCGCTCGATTGCGCTGGCAGTAAATTGCTGTTTGCCCCACGCTGATTTTGCTTACGGTGCCAAAGCGCAGCGGTGGAGGTGCAATGCGTGCTCGGTAGGAAACGTGTTGTGGTGGTGCTGTTTGTGACGGTCTCTGGGTTAGGGAATGGCCATGAGGTGCAATGGCTTTTTCAAGGATTTTTTTYAAGGATTCTCTCTGAAACTCTGTTGTTGGTGAATTTGTGGATCGAATAAGGCATTCGTTGCTCTGCAGAATTTACATGCAGTGTTTGCTAAAGCTTGCACGGTGCTAACTCATAGCAGTAAACAACTGGAAAACAAGGACGCTGTAGAAAACTTATTTTCCTTCCTCAGTAATATATGCCATCCTACTGTTAGCTGCAGCAGTTACTTAAAAAAATACTTAAAAATAACTTCTGGAATGGTTTCCTCTAATTATCTGCGTGATTGAGAGCAATAATGAGTAGAAATGTTTTGGTAGACTGTAGCTTATCTGATAGCAGCAGGAACAAACAAATATGAGAAGCCGTTTGCCTTCTTTTCCATGGGAAAGTTAGAAATCTGCCGGTGTTCTTGATGGCAATTGTCATGTTATGCTCCAAGCTTCTTCTTTCTTGTAGGCGCAGAAGAACTACCACCTCCGTCCAACCTAAGCTATTCATTCATCCAAATCTGCACCGTGAACTGGACGTGGAGAGCCCCAGAGAACGTCAGCAGGAGCTGTGACCTCGTGTACTCCAGCGACATCTTCATCAACGAGGTCTCTCAGAACCAAAAAGTAGGTTCCTCAGCTCTCTGAGTTCCTCTATACTCCAATTAATGTATAATTGTGGTAGAACTGGGTATGTTTGTTCATGCATAGATACGCATATAAGTGCAGCCTGTAGTTCTTGTTGTGGGATCCAAACCTCAAAAAATGAGTCATGACAGTGTGCGGAATATTCAGATCAGAAAAATCTGTCTGTGGCTGTCTGATAAGACAACTGTTACTGATAGCTCGCAAGCACCGTGATCATAATAATGTGAAAAGAATTGCTGCRTTATTTGTTTTCACCACTTTCTATTAAAAACACGTAATTAGGGCAGCCTCCGTCCTCGTGAGGCAACTGTGGATTTGCAAAGGCCGTTTTCCTTCGCTTTGAACTCAGGCCAGGGAAGAGGCATGCACATTCATCTCGGTGTGCATTGTCTTCTGGAGATGATGCCAAGCATTAAAGCATTCCTACATCTGCACCGTCCCAGCGCATGTATAGGCAATTATTTATGGGGACTGTGTTATGAACAGGATAAATCTGTGCCTTGAAAACAACTGCAATACTTGTTTGTTGTGGGTTTTTGCTTTTATTCCTCGGGTTGCATCACCGATGTGTGATCACAGTGTGTCTAGCTGTGGCTTCATGGTTGTTTCACCATGGTGAGTGCTTTCTTTCGGTGTATTCCCGAGAAGATATTATGCTCTCAGGCCCTGATTTCTAACTGTGAGAACGCTGAATGTGGAACATAACCTGGCTGCGGGGCTGGCGGTCCTGTTATTTCGGATATAGTTAAATCGACCGCATGTTTTCACGAGGATGCCTCGTGAACTAGTCCTTTGTTCTTGAGTGCTATTATAGTTTTATGGCCTGGCGTGCGTGGTGGCCTCCTTGCTGCTGCCGCCGTGTTCCTTCTGACAGCTCCAGGATATCCTGGCCTTGAAATAAGACGGCAGTTTCCCAAGCAGCTTAGCTGATCTGGTGGCTTAACGCTGCCAACGTCAAGTTTCATTTTTGATATCCCCTTATCTCCGGGTGGGCTGGGTGTTCACCAGGCCTTTCTGGGAGCCGGTTGAACTTGCTAACTCAGCTGAAACCTGTTTACCTCTCCCAGCAGATTAATGTTCTGCTCGGCTAACAGTCCAGTGAGTTTGTGGAAGGGCCTGACAAACGTCAGGTGAGTTGGTGGAAGGATCTAATAGTGGCAGGAGCAGTAAAAGAGCTGTTAGCTGGTGGTTTCATGAGGCAGGGTGAAGCAGCCTCTATCATCTCGCTGATCTTGCTGCATTACAGCTGATAGAGTCCACTCCGTTAATGGCTATCTGACTTCCTTTCTCATTCATTAATGGGATCTACTTGTCTGCATTTAAGTAAGAGACATCTCCCTGGCCAAATAAAAGATACTTAAGAAAGTGTATGAGAAAGAGGTCATTTCCTCACCCAAACATCTACCAGCCTCATTTCCAAACCTGGATGCTCCTGAGCCTCTTGGCCCTGCTGCAGGGTCATTCTACCTAACAGCCATCTGTGGATTTCTCTCTTGGTAAAGTTTTCCTTTGCTCCTTGAATCCATGTAAGTTCTTCTTATTGCAACTCCATTAGGTCTTTGGTCTTTAGGTTTTCCTCCGTTGGTCACACGTGCAAATGCAAAAACACAGCAAGATGAAGGTAAAATTATACTAGGAAAGCTGTRGCGTGCTTATTCTGCATTACCCTTGAAGACTTGCAGAGTTTCCTYCATATCATACTCATTCCTTGGTCTCCGTGTGGCTAATGTCCTTGCCTGTAGGTGGCTGGATTAGGAGCAGGAGAAGCTTTCATGCTGTGAGTTGTGAGTGCACCTGATCGCAGCAGTGAGCTGAGCACCAGAGTCCTCTGCATGGCTTCAGAAGGTCATTTCGTTGGGCTTGAGCTGCACTTTTTTGATGGATTCTAGTGTCTTCTTATCTTAATAGCGATTTCCTTGTGCATGACAACCCAAAGGTTCTGATTTTTGGTTTTTCCTCCTGTTTAAACCCAGGCATGGAGTAGGAGTCTCTTCCGCGTGACCGATATGCTCATGACTGAGGAGATGGGCTTCAAAGTGAGGAGCGAATGCAGGCACAACAACGGCAGCGCGCCAAGCAGATGGGTAGAGACGTTGCTTCGACCGCAAGGTAGCGTTCCAGACAGCAAGACCAAGACAGACGTGCCAATCCCTGCCGTAGTCTGGTCCTCGGAGCACTTTTAACAAAATATTGCAGGAATCCATCATAGGGAGACATCTCAGGGCAGAGGCAAGGGATTTCTGGTGTAGGGAAGTAAAGAGCAGGATTGCTGTGGAGCCCTGGCCAACACACAGGCCCGTCCAAGGCTGCAGCTGAGATGATGATGCAAGAAAAAGCAGCTGAGAGGGTTTTTTGGGGGGGAATTTAGGAAGCTCTGCAGTTGGGAGAGTCTGTAGGGTGTTTCTGCTGTGTGTAAGCCAAGATGGAGCCTTTGGCATTTCAAGTCCTACAGGTATTTAAAGGGTATTATTAGGTATTAAATACCTTACCCAATACATCATTATAAGGTATTAAAATACTTTTTTTTTTTTTTTGCCTTCTTTTTTAATCTAGAAATTAGGAGTACATAGAAGAATTGTTAGAAAGAAGACTTTGGGCAAGAATTTCTGCCTTTTCCTCACAAAAGTTTAATTATGTGTATTGCCACAGGGTATTTTGGATGCTAGAAGCATACATGAGTTCTACAAACTGCTTAGATAGATGGGGGCGAGAAAGGCCCCACTAGCAAGAGCTATTACGAGCAGTTGTTTATATAATGTCCAGCTGAGGATGTCCTTGAACTGGTGCAGACTGGAAGTTCGGAGGTTATAGCAAGGAAATGGTGCTTCTTGCATTGAATAAGAGAAGTCTGCCTAATCCGGTAGCCTGACTCGGTATGTGTGAAAACGCCTCGCAGATAGGAGAATCCGAGAGCTCTCGGATTTGTCGGTGTGTCCTKTGAGAGGGAATGCTGGAAAGCTGAGGAAGTGGCTCCTTGTGACAACATGTCCTAAACAATTAAAGCCCTTGGGGGCTTTAAAAGTATRCTTGCCGAAAAAATGTTTTTAAGTGCCTCTTGGAATGGGAAAAGCAGTTTCGTTTTCTTCTACGGAGTCATGGCTTCAGTGAGAGCACAAGCTCAGGAGTAGAAATAAGCTTTGGATTTGCTCTCGATGATAGTCTGGACTGTTGATTAAAATGATTACTCGTTTTTAGTTTTTGGAGGAGTTGCTACATGTTGAAAGGAAACTATTTGATAAGCTGTAATATGTTAATACAGGAGGAAAATGTGTTTTCCTGGCCGTGCAATGACGCAAGATTGAATATGAAAGAYGTTCTGTAATTGCCCTACCTGGTAGATGTATTCACTTCTCTGATCACAATTGCTATGTACTCATTTGTTTTTACGTTCTGTAACTTGGGTTTTCAGTGTGTTCAAGAGGCAGAATGTTTAGTGGTATATGGATCTCAGTTAAAAACTCATTGACAGGTATTTCCAAATGCAGAATACAGAGAAACTAATGCTCTATCTGGAGAACACAGCTATAATTAAATGCTGGCTATTTTTAATGTTAATAGCTGTAATGATTCAAAGAAAGCCAAGCACTGTCCCTATAACTGCCGATTACTTTAGCTTCTTTTCAACTGTCTGCTTTTTAAGAAGAACCAAAGCAACTTCCTTACTTAACAGCTCAAGCTCAATACCAGGTAATTCTAAGGAGTGATGCMCAAAGTCATGCCCTGAGAGGCAGCTTGAGGTAGAACTTTTTCAGGTAGCTAGAGGCAGAAGTTTTTACATGAAATGGGATATTTCGCTTCTGAAAAAGGGAAAAAGACTTTGCCAGCATATAAATCTCAGGCCTTTCCAACTTGCCTCGCAGGTATTCCAGGTACTGCTGCCGTGAACTTGAAGTGCATCTGGCACAACTTGGAGTACATGGAGTGCAAGTGGCTTGCCGGGAAAAATGCACGCAGCGATACCAACTATACTTTATTCTACTGGTTGGTATTAACTTCCTACTCTGCATCCCAAACTCCTTTAACTCTTTTCCTTAGTTTTGCATTTCTTGCCGTGCTCTGTTTGTCTCTTTCCTGTTGTTTTGGAACATCCCGAAGCACCGTGCGCGAGTTCTGCTGCTGGGTCCGGTCCAGCAGAAATCTGCTGAAGGTTCAAGAGGTTGTTGAGTCTTTTTGGGAAGCTGATTTATTTACACGAAGTGATAGCTATTTCTGCAGCCCATTTAAAAATAACCGCTGCTGCTTATCTTTTTGAATTGTAGATTCAGCAGGGAAGAGTCAAAACTGTGCCAGGCAAACATATTTCATCTTTTCTGTGCTGCCTGACCAGCTTGTGTTGCAATTTATGTCACAGCCTCTCACTAATGCATATGTGAGTTCTTAAATCACTGGAAAGCAGTATGGGAGCATTAATAGCACTTACTTTTGCTTGTGTCATCTATGTCATAAATAATGGATTCACCTTGGAAGTTATAAAGAACATCTTTTTCTCCTCATCTCGGCTTGCCAGCTATCTGCCATAAATAGTCTCCTGTCCTAGAGGAACAGAATTGAGGAAAAATTGGCACCAAGATCCGAGCACACTGATCTGTGCCTGCTTCTGTGTSTTAATTCTCCGTGTGAAACGCCAGGTTGCATTAGCTTCTGCAGCAATGTTGAAATTTTATTTCTGAAAGCTCTAAAGTGAGTTTGTGCCTTATCTGACCTGACTGAATGATCTTTTTCCATTTTCACTGCAGTGGTAGCTTCACAGACTAGCTGTTTTTTTAAATGCATTTTGATAGCAAATAGCAGAAAACTTGCTGTATGTATAAGTATACAGTGCTTTAGGCTAGAGCTGTATATGAAAACACTTGGAAGTCAAACATCATTCTTTCAGGTTCAGTCCAACCTTTCCCATAACAACAAAAAGGCACTTTTAAGTTTTGAAGATGAAAGCTAAGGTGAAACGCTTGATTTGGGGGTTGAAAGATGCATTTTCTGTAATTATTTCAGATGTGACTGGGTAACAAGTTAGAAAAAGGAGCACTTAATTCTATCCCATGTATTCCTTGGTATTTTCCTGCAAAAGGTATGTTTTCATTGAAACAGAATTTTTGCTCAGAATATGAGCAAAACATCTGCTCGTAACAAGCAGATCCTGTCTCTGCACAGTCATAACGGCAGAAACGGAGCTAATGTATCCGGTGCCGTGTGCTCCAAATGCCTCATTTTCCCCGACTCCAAAGGAGGGATTAAAAAATAGGGTCTGGGACTGAAAAAGAGAGCGAGGTTTATGGCTTATTTTACCTAAAGCTCTGATTACTCTTCTTTTGTGGTACAGAGAGATCAATTCCCTCCGTTTTCTGGGCAGGAAAAGCCCCAGGGATATTTTCCCTGTTGGGACCAAATTGAGATGAGGAAGGAGGCAGCCGCAGCCTCTCCATTGTTCAAAGAGAATACTGATATTTTGGAAGAAAGTGAATGCAGTAGGTGAAATACAACTTTCTTGAGCAAGAGCTGGCATACATTGCTGAAAGTGATAAATTAGCTGCTCCCTCACAGAAGTAAAATTGTCTTGTTGGGAAGAGATCCAAATTTATTTGATTCCTTTCTTTTCTTTTTCTTTTTTCCTTAAAATTGTTTTCCCATGGGAAAATGTGGAGCAAYGCTGGAACTTGCTTTCAGTTTTGATTCTTGGATGCTCTTTGACCCATCTTTTTTCTGCTAGTGGAAACTCTACCAAAATAACATTMCTTTTGCAACTTGAAATAAATAATGAGAGACCTTGTTTAACTTTATTTTTACATATGCTGTAGTGCAACTTTTATGCAGGAATGCTGAATAGAATTTTTAAAATAGTTTTAAAGACAGGTTTTTCCTTATCAGTCCTATTCTTCTGAAGCTGAAAAAAAGGTTTTTTTATTCTTATAGGTATGAAGGCTTGGGAAATCCTGAGAAGTGCAGCAATTATTCTATGCATGAAGGAATCTTTGAATGCATTTTCAATTTTACCTTCCCCAAGGTCACCAATACTTATCCAACTGTCAGTATTTTGATTAAAGATGCTTCAAAGGAAATCAGGCCTTTATGTGCAAGTAAAAATCCCACTACYCTTGGTAAGTTTAATACCACGTTACACAAAGCAACTGAAGTTTATTGGTCTGTCCATATGCTTATATGTTTGGGAAGTTTTCAGCTTGCAAGCTGTGGGTCAGACAATGCTATGAAATRCTCTCTTCTTGTACTCATTTTTGAGAATTTTTGCAAATAGGATTTTTTTTTTATATTGAATCCAAAAACTCTCTTCTTCTGGTGCTTGGAGTTTTTTTGTTTTTTTCTTTTTTTCCCCTCTTTCTGTTCCTGACCTCCAGCATATATGTAAAACCATTCAATACGGGACTTCTTTTCCAACCAGTAATATACAATTTCAAGCTATTTTTTCTATTTTGCTTTCAGTAAAACCTGCTACACCCAAAGCAGTTGCACTGTCGAAGGTTAATGATGAAATCCGTCTAGAATGGAGCCAGCCACACACCTTCCCAGCCAGCTGTCTGTATTACGAGGTGGAATACCACAGTGGTGATAAGGACACTGCTCAGACAATTAAAGTAACTATTCTTTATTTACAGTTACCTATTTTGTCCTATGTATATATGTATATATATGTCCTATGTTTTATAATTTATGGAAATTATTATATATGCTGCATGAGAATGGGAGTGTTACACTAGCTGGAAGTGCTGCATGGACACACTAGATTTTTCTCCCATGGAATAGTTTTCTGGTAGTAATAGCTACACAAGGACTTGTCTTCTGAATCTCTGCCATCATTAATGTTTTAATTTATGCACACATATATTTGCATATATATATTTATATGCATTAATATTCTATATTATATTATAATATGTATTATTGCATATGATATGTATTATTTTATGTATATTATAATATAATTAATGCATATATATATATATATAAAATTAGTGCATTATATATTAATGCATTGCTGTAGTAAAGAAAAGTCCAATTAAAAGAGGCACAGACTGAAGCCAGTAGCATTTCCCAGGAGATGCACTGTGTTGCAAATACCTGTTTGATTCTCACTGGGGTGGAGGAGCTTGGCTCTGTTGGGGTGGTGTTTTCCTGTAGTTGGGCAGCTCTCCATGACATGACTTATTTAGTCTTAGTTGATGTGACTTAATTGCCATAGAACAAGATTAGTTGTTGGTGTGGACAGGATATTATCCAGGAAATCAAGAGGATTAAAAAAAAGGGAGGGGAAGAAGTGTGCTCGCGTCACGTACRTCAAAATATGTGTATCTGAAAGGCACTGACTTAAGTGTCTGGATTTGCTCAGTCGTGTATCTGAATAATTAGGCTGGCTGTTTGATCTGGCAAGTAAACAACATGATAAATTCAGAAATAAGGTGCCAGTCTTCTCCCAGGGAGCTTATCTGTCTGTCCTATGCAAACTGGTATTGGACCGACATTCTCCRGGAAACCCAATTCTTAGATGGGATAAAAGTGAAGCCCTGTTCCAGCCCATCTTTTCCACTCTCTGAGGAAATTGTTCATTGCTACGATGACTGATAGAGGGGAATTCAGCATAAATCACAGATGTTTAGGGAAAAATAAATAAATAAAAAGCAAAATGCAGTTCCAGACGCTGAGTCTTAATCACCAGTGCCAAATGTTGGATAATAGGAGTGAGTCAGTTTAAGAGTAAGCCTTGGAATCTTTGTTTTGGCAACAGTTTTCGTCAAGCTGATTGAAGGCTATTATGTCCTTTTAATGAAGTTCTGCATTCACAAAAGGATCTTCTATAAAAACATCCAAAAAACACATTACCTGCTAAGTAAAAATGGACTTGTAAAGGAGCAAGAGAATGCTGGTAATTGAACACAGTAATTTTTCAATATTTTCTTTTTCTTTCTTTTTTTTTTTTTTTTTTTAACACCAGGTTGAATATAATCATACTTCAATTCCCAGTGTTGATCCTAAAACCAAGTACACCTTCAAGGTGAGAGCAAAACCAAAGCCCGAGTGTTACAGCAGCGAGCTCTTTAGTGACTGGAGTGAAGAAAAGAGCATTGGTAAGAACACTTCTTCTTGGGGTCTGTTGACATTCACTGTTCAGTTGTTATTCCTCTCTCTCACTTCCTTAGCAACTTCATCTGCATTATAGTGTGTTTTGAAGTTCCTGCCTACAAAAGCATTGTAGTCCAAAAATATTCAAGCTGGGAATTAGAGARTTTGGTTGTTATCCTTGTTCCTGTAAAGCTTCCAGAAACTTTCCTAAATTTCTGATTTTTTTTTTTTTTTTTGTTCTCCAGGTGCAAAACCGGACTCCACATTCTATTTTGTTTTAATAATCACCGTTCCATTAATAATCGCAATATCTACRATAATTCTACTTTTTTACCTAAAAAGGTAAGTACTCATATATCTTTATTTTCAGTACACTGTTTCTGATTAATATTTGTTTCGCATTATAATTCATGTTGCTTCCAGATAGCTAAGTATGGTGTGACATGATGTGACGTGTTTCAGCAGTCAGTGTTTTCTCCCTAATATGTCTTGCATTTAAGAAGAAAAAAAAAAAGGCAACACTATGTGCTTCGGTAGTTAGGATTTAAGTAGTTAGGTTGATAAACTAGATGGATGTTTTGGCTGCACTTTGCTGAAATCGTGTATTTCTGCTCACATCTGCTTACAGTTAATTTCCTGCCGCGTAGTCATTGCATCTCCTTTCTTAAGCAATGAAGCCGAAACGAAAAATAGAGAAATTCATTATGAAGTTCCTTACACTATTTAAAAAAAAAAAATCTCCTTTGCTGCTGCCCTTCTCACTATTGGAATCTAGTCAGTATTTGACTCTGTGTAAATATTCCCATTTCCTTGTGTTTGGGCGAGTAAAAGTGCAAACGAGCCCCAGTTGTGCGGAGGATGAAAGCTGGCCAGCGATACCAGTTTGCATCACAGATTTTCACCACCACACCCAAATTGTGCCTTGAAATGGTCAATTTTGGATTACTGTCCCTTTCATTTAAAACTTTGCTTTGCTGTTTTCCGAAGGCTGAAGATATTAATCCTTCCACCAATTCCTGACCCTCGAGAGATCCTTAAGCGTATGTTTGGAGAGCAGAACGAGGATTCCCAGGTCAGTACCTAACTCTTTGACAACCGTTCTGTTGGAATTAGAACCTTCCTTTTTTCCATCTATTTTTGTTATTTGTCCTTATATACGTAAGTATATATATGTTACATGAAGAATATTTACAGTGCTAGGAGCTGTACAGAAATAATTACTTGACACTAATACAGATTTTCTTCTCAAGTTGAATCACTTTTTTCAGATACATTACTAGAATTTAATTAGATACATTAATAGAATTTAATTATTCTGTTATTTTTGCAGACTTCTAGTTCCTTAAAYGGTTTTCTTTGCTGCTCCATTAAACTACTTTCCGTGAACATGACAAAAAGATTTATATCTGCTGGTTGCTCCTGTTTATGCTGCTGGATAAACCTATTTATTTTCAGAAACTTACAGTTATGACAATCGCTGAGTTATGAGATAAATCATGATCTTTAGCTTCTTGTTGGCCAAGGGACAGAACTAACTATAGCTCCTTCAAGCTTTGGGTGTTGAAAGACTCAACTCGCTATATGCTCTCATTTCTGGAAAAATAAACATACTGGTTATASTAACTTTTCTGCAGCTTTTCTATCTGGGTATCTAAACAAAAATAACTCTGCAACTCTTTATAAAAAAGAGCTACAAACCCTAACTGAGACCTAGAAATGAAGCATCGTACAGTGTTCTCTGAAGACCATTCTTGCATGGAAGGCGCCTTTTGGTTCATAGTGATATCTCCAAACTGCTGCTATCTGTGAAACCTTTACAGAGGRTAATCGCTATCTGGGTTTCTGGTGCCAGGTGTTTCTTGGCCATTCTCAGCTGAATTGCGGATTTTCCGAGAAGTCTCCTGTCAGGGCTTCCCAACTGCGGATAGACTCCMAAGCTCAGCAGTGCCTCTTGCCATGGGCACGTAGTGAGTTTCCCTAATAATAACCTGGAACCACGAGGAGAGCATGGCTCTGGCCTTCTACTTTGTGCTTTCTGAATAATTATTTCAACATGCAGTGAACGTTACAGAACTAAGGTGGAGCCTGTGGCCACCAAGATCATAACTGCTGTCGCTGTTTGTCTTGCTTTGAGTTCTCTACCTTCCCTAATAAGATTACCATGATACCTTCTGTCTTCTAAGAGCTGCATTGAGCTTCTCATCCATGCTCAAGGATGAGAAGGTTCCTCTAGCCCCTGCCTGATCTTCAGGTACTAGCTGTATTTGGGAGGGCACTGTTAGATCCAGGCCACCATTCAAATCTTCCTCACTTCCAAAGAGCACAACTTTTTTGTAAACCAGGTCTAATGTCCCTAAGAAACATTTTTTTGCACAACTACCTTGGCTTTTTCACTGTAATGGACCAAATATGTTGTGCTGGACATATTTAAGACTGTTATGTCTTATTTCTGTTGGCCTGCCATGCTCCCCACGAAGTAAGTCTGTTAAATATATCGTTCTCTTTCAGGGTGGTGTAAAGGAGGATGCTGTGAATGCTTACAACAGGTTAATTAAGGAAGAAGAAATTCATTCTTTAGTTCTAACAGAAACTCTGGAGAGTTCCTATCCTGAAAACGAAAACCGATAAACTGTCTTTACCAAGGAATGACGAGGAGAGACTTTTCTTCCTGCTCCCTTACCTCAGGTGACAATGTAGATGTGGACCAGCCTGTAAGACATTCACCAACATTGAACCGAGTCCTTTGTGAACCTTCCTGTATGTGTGGCACTTGGAAGGAACATCACTGACACTGGCCATTCCTCCTTCTCTGCTGGAAAAGCTCAACCTGGATCTTTCAAAATGAGCCTGTACATTATCTGTTTACACTCATGTTTGTGCCTCCCAGTAGACTGTAAATAGGCTTWTTTTTTGGAGCAAGCACCACAATTCTGCTGAAGTTTGTGGCTCTGCTTTGCAGAGGGGAGATGAGGCTCGTTTACAGCCAACAGCTCCTTCCTGCTGCTGTGTGGATGTGCTGCAGGAAGCCAGAGCAGGTGGATCGTTGGTGAACAGCCCATAGCTGGGTAGGGGACTTTCCAGAGCRCATTTATGGGCCAATCCTTGGAAGATTTTGGTTAATTTTCTTCAGCTGTGGGCTGATCAAATCCAGTAAAAGAGAATTTTGTTTTTAAATGTATGTGAAAAGCCTCTTCACTTTGCAGGGGTGTTCAGTCTACTCACAGAACAGTTTTATGTTTTTAGTATTTTTTTTATCCTTTCAGGTCCCTGTCCTCAGGTTTTTTACCTTGCTTCCATGAACTACTTGTGTTAGTCTTATTTTGTTTTAAATGATAAATCAGGTTCATCACCTGTGTTGTCCCGTGGCTGGTGACTCTGCATTGAATCTCATGCAGCTGTGATTCTGCTTTGGCCATGATGGCCTGAAAGTGCCTGATTTTGGAAGCTAAATCAGCCTGAGACTGTTCAGCAGAATTACCAGATAATGGATGTGTGAGTTTAAGGAGCCATGGTCAAATGCTTAGCACAGTCTAAATCACAGAAACTAAATTCAAAGACTTTTCAGACCCATCCTCACTGCTCAGCTGATGGATTTGGTGGAAGAGGGGATGACAACCCTGGCTTACATTCTGGGGGATAAGCTTTGTTCTTTTTCTAATGAAGATCTCTTGGATCTCAGCAATTTAAAAGTAAGGTGCTGATTTGACTTCTCAAAATTTTCTCCCGCATTTGCTGCTGCAGCTTGATTTCTCCTTTTTTTTTTTTCCTCTTGCAAATCACAAATTGGTTCTCCTTTTTTTGTGTTGGTGTCGTTTTGTTTTGAGGTGCTTTACCCATCAGAATTCAGTGTATGGTGTCTGGCACAACTGTGAATTTTCTGTGCTCAAAATTCTGCTGGGCTGTACCTTGTGCTGCAAAGGTGCTAACAGCAGCTCCTTGATTGCGCTCCGAGAAAAGGAGGTAGAATGTAATGGGCAGGAGGGGATTTGTGCTGGCTGGTTGTATTAGCAGGCAAGGAATTGCTTGTTCCTGGCATTTTTCTGAGCAAGTGAGTGTATGCAATTTGGGACAGAAATTTTGGGCAGTCTGGGAACAGACCCTCTCCAACGTTTGCCAGAGACAACTTCTGTCGCCACTGATTTACCTTGTAAAATTCAAGTTGGGTTCAGTCAAAAATTGGAAGGGAAGCACTACTCTTTTGGATTTTTCCCGTTCTGTGAGAAGTAGTGCTAACGGAGCTCACACTTACGTCCTGTACCCCCTCTTTGYCCCTTACCTTAATAAATCCAGTTGCTTTTCCTTGGACCTCTCAAAAATCATTTCCTCACATGTCTTAACACTAGCTACTGGTGACAGAATTRGGAGGAGAAATGTGGCAGAACTAGCAGGCCACGTGAGATGCTTAAAATTTTACTTAAAATAAGCTTAAAAAAATCAAAATTGGGTAACAAAACAACAGCAAAGTCTCAGGGATTTCAGTGAGATGTTAACAAAACTCAGGTTATGCAAAATCAGCTAGCAGAAATCTTTGATGTTCCAGAGCTAGAGGAACAGTGTGGGACAAAGAATTACTTAATCCCTTTGCCATCTTAACTCCCTTCCCCCTCTCCCAAGATCCGTATTATGACAGAGATAAAAATATTTTTCAAATCTACCTCATATGGAATGTTGCTAATTATAGATTACTAGACAAGCAGAAGCATATGTAAGGAAGCATAATAGTGTAATCTAATTTTTATGGCCTTCAGTAAAACAGTCAAGGAAGAAGATCCTTGGTTCTTTGCCCTGAAGTGTCTTTTACTCTGTCTTGGTGTTGATAATAAAATCAAAATGTACTTTTTTAAAAAAGGAAATAAAGCAAATTCATAAAACAAAAGGAAGAAAAAGATAGGTGACTGTGCTAGGCCRAAAGGAAGACTTAAGTGCGAAGGACAATTTATATCTTGTTAAAAATCACTTGAGTAATTCTTTTATTTTCTGACATGGTTATTGACTATTGGCACTTCCTAGCTGATGTATTTCTTGAGTCTGTTTTTTGGCATGTAAAGCAAACGTCTTAGTCTATGTTAATCTTTAAATTCTCTTGTTTATAGTGTGTTTTATTTTTTTTAGCTTGAAATTTTTTTAGTTTTGCTAGCACTTGTTCTTCACTGCAGTTACTTGATTTGTAAATTTGTTTAAAGGATGAATAAATATGTTTGAATTTTTTTGATATAACTTCATGGTGGTTTGGTGTTTGTGAAGAGAAATGATGCAGGAAAAAGGCAGTTGCTCAAGAAGAGGAGCACGTTTGAGTCGTGCAAAACACTGAGAGAACAAAAGCTGAACATCGCCCTGTGCTCTCCCATTTTCAGTGCAGTAATGAAGCTGGGGTGGAGTTGTGCCTTCACACTGCACCGTTTGCTTGTGCTTTATTTCACAACCCAAGAGAGAATTCAAAAATTCGCCATCTGGAACGTAGCAGAGGTTGCTGTGACCTTACGCAAAGTATTTTGAATATATGATGTTTGGGTTAGCTGCTGAAGTCTTGAGAAGCGTCAGGCCGTTGCGCTGATGAAAGCCATTGCCTAGTTGTTCGGATCCAAACGTGTTCAAGTGCCAGATAAACAGAGCTGCAAGGCCGTCTTCAAAAGGCTCAGAGAAAGCAGCCTTCTTCCCCCTCAGGTTAGTGCCTAGATCATTCAAAATAAAGTAATAAAGTGGGAAGTATAAAGATTTTTTTTTCTTTCCCTGTTCTCAGTTTTGATGGCCATAATGACCACCTAGAATTTTGTTTGCTGCCCACAAATGACTTCTTTTACTTCGATAATTACCATGTGAAATACAAAAATCCTTATAACAAATTTTCTGTATTTGGCATGCTTCAGACAATGAAATGCTCTTGATTTTGTGATTTTTTTATTGATTTCAATAAGAATAGGACCTAACTTTTAAGTCAATGAATAGGCACACTAGATTGCTATTGCTAAGCTATGACATTTTAATGCCTACTAGGTAGAACTGTTGACTTATCAGGAATTTCCATTCACTCTTAAGTCTTCGAAGTCTTCAATAAAGTTACCTGTGAATTCAAACTTTAAATATTCAGAATTTCCATTGGAAGGGAAAGGTTGATTTCTTTTTTTTTTTTTTTTTTTTTTTTTTTTTTCTTCTTCTCTGTTTGTTTCAAAAAGAACTTTCCGTTTGGGAGGGTTTTCCCCTCAGCCCAGTGAACGGAGGAGGTAGGTGGCTGGAGGTGCAGGTAGGGGCAGGGCACCAAGGGGACCTCTTGTCCCCGGATGATGGTGGCATAGTCAGTGCTGGAGATCTAGCCATGTCCCTCATGGAGCCACTGGAAGAAGAGTTGCCCATGGTACCAGAAGTCTACCAAGATAATTTTCACATGGTTTAGTTTTTCTCATTCGGTTTCTGCTGGAAGTGCTGCATCAATCAGCCCTGATCTGGTCTCTCACCAGCTGTTGGAACTTCTAGGTGATAACTACCAACCAGATGTGAAGCCAGATTAACATCTTTCTACTTGAATGAGTTTCCTGCTGGCTATGTTGAATCACAGTTGAAAGTAGGTGAGTTAAGATCACTATGATGTAAATAAATCTACRCTATAACCACAGCAAAGCAGCCTGGGTTTGGGTGGGAAGAACAGGAGAGAGGCAAATTTTTAGGCACGGAAATTGTGTTTCAGGTTGATAAGATGTAAGAACCTGAGAGCTTTTTGATGCCTTTTTTCTTTTTTATGTTCTCTTTCCTCCAGCTATGTCTGCCAGGTTAATGAAATTGTTTTTCTTTACTTGTAAGCCCTGCCTCATTTATCTTTAGTGTGTTCCTTTTGCAATTATCACCAAATTGTGTTCTTCAAGTAAAAGCTGAGTGCTGCTGTCATGGCAGAGCTGTAAAAGAGATAGGCCTTTCTAGTCCTAATCTCCGTTCCTCATTTTCCTTTTGCCAAAGTCCTTGAATTATTTTGGTGCCAATTCCACAAAGCATCTATAAAGTGATGCTGTCCAGTTAAGGCGTAATTATACTCTTACATTAGTACACTCAAGTTTTGCCATATTTAATTTGTCTCAAATTGCTAAAACATATTTGGATAAAACTACAGCACGACCAAAAGCTTGATGRGATTGAGGTTGTTAAGGCCTGAACATCAGTATCAATTTTTGGAACTTGAGCTAATTTACKAAGCTAGATGACAAAGCAGGAGTGACATGACAGGGAAGTTAAGCTAATGTCTTGCTTTCACAGTAGAGCTGGGTTTAAAACTTTGCAGTAAAAACACACCAACCTAACAAATTGGTGTGAATGGGGAATCCTTTCTGGTTGATCTAATCAAAGGTCTACTAGATCACACAATATCAACTGCTGCTGTCTTGRCGATCTCTGTACATTTATAGTTTAAGTCTATAAGGTTTGAAATCTAAGAATCCAGATTTCTTTAAAGGTTTCTTTGCCACTTTTCCTGAACCTGCTTTAATTTCCTTCCTTCATGCAAAATGTAGGTGTAGAAACTCCAACAGCGTCAGGCTGCAGCACTTCTGAACTGGCCATAAATCCCTCAGTCCTTCAACCATGAAGAGTTCAGCTGCAACAGGGAGCTGTTCAGGCTGTGGCCGCTCATGTTCAATTCCCATCCTACCATGCTCCAAGAGAATATTCAAATGCAGATAATCTCACTTAAAACAGCAGGAACTAAGGCAGAACCATTAGTAAGGGTTTTTCCAGTAGACTTACATACAGTTGTCGTTTCATGTAAGACTTCTGGTCACTTCTCTCTTTTTTTTTTCCCTTTATTTTTTGAATGAAATATAGAAATCCCAATAACTCGATAGTGGAAAAGACTCTGCCCTCCTGCGCACTGGCCTTCATGGCCTGTGTCTGAGTCTAGCTTGGAGCAAAACTCCTGTAGGCTTGAGGAAAAAAGGACCATTTTTTATTAAGTGCGTAACTTTGGCTCTTTTGATTATGGGGAGTACGTAAAGTGATATTGAACATGCGTTTATAAAAGTTCATATAAGGCTGAAAAAGCCCTCAGGGCAACACCGCCTTGGTGCTCTGAATCATATCAGGAGCAGAACATTTTGTGATGGATGTTTGTCCAGCTGAACCGACTTGGAAAAGTAGCTTGAGTCAAAGTCTCCCTAGATGGTCCGCCGCGCYGCTGTATCCTTCTTAATTAGGAAACTCCCCTAATAACTAACCTAAATTGACTTTGTTGCGGCTCAAGCTGATTTCTTACCCTGCCACCTATTGCCATGAGGTGAAGTTGCTTAGCAGCTATTTGGCATTTGGAAATACAACCTTTGGTTTTGCCTCTCTGCTGCTTTGGAGAAAAAAAAAAAAAAAAAAAAAAAAAAGAAAAAAAAAAAGAGAGAGAGAAAGAGAATCTTTCGGTCATTTATCCCAGTTYGTGTTTTTTAAATCTTTCATCATTCTTGCCAGGTTCTCTAGAGTGGAGTTGCTTTCTAAGCAAGGCAGCAGCATCCCCAAAATAGCACAACAATTACCTTGCTTGTCTGTCAGTCCTTCCCCACTATATCCGGAGCGAGGGYGTTCTTTTTGTTTGTTTTGTTTTGCTTTTTGGCAAGAGATTATTGTACTATTAGTTCTCAGTCTGTGGCTTTCTACAATTCCCGATCTCTTCTAGCAATGACGTTGCCTTGTTAGTCACTCTTGATTGCAAAACTGATTTGGCCCCCCTGAGACTAATGCTTTTAACATTTTTATTGAATTCCATCTCTTTCACTTGTGCTTTCATGCCATTTAGAAAATATCTACCAATTTTTTTTCTCATGCTTTATATCCCTAAGCACCTTTGTAGCCATTCTTCACTCAGTGTAATCTATGGAGTGCATTATATCACAGAATCAGATGGATTAAGATGCTGAATAACGCTGTTATCCCAACAGGCTCCTATAAAACATTGGCACTCGCCATCCCACTGGGCAGCCGAGTGCTCTTTGAGAGATTTTGTTTTCAGGCAGCTGCACATTCATTTCAGTGATTAACTGTCGCGTTTCCTCAGGTTGATTAGAAGGACGGCGCCCTGCGCGTTAGCCCTCACAGAAAGGGAAACCGGATTGGTTTGGCACAAAGTGGTTTTGATGGTTGATTAGATGTTGCCTGGTAAACACTGAGAAGCAAGGCTGCAAAATTGTTTGCCCTGGTCCAGAATTTTCCTAGGGAGGAAGTCGGACAAAAGGATCAATAATTTCATGGGTGACTCCTTTCTGAAGACAAACACSATGTTTGCTCCTCACTTCTGGAGGCTTCTGCTCGCTGCAGACCTCAGATAGAACCACCGTGTGTTGCAGCTTGTCTCACCTTTAGCAGGAATGAGCTCCAGGAACTGCAGACACCCTCTTCTCCAGCCTGCTCTCGTCCTGGCCCACGTGCCTATTTGCTTCTTAAAATTTGCTTTGCTCATAGACGATCATGAAAATTAAAGCAGAATGCACCACACTTCACTGCAGCAGGCTTATTCTGCCCTTTTCCATTGCATTAATCTGGATTTTTTTTCTTTTCCTTTTTTTAAGCTTGCAGTGCGTTCAGACATTCCTCGCCTCTTTTGTCCTGTATTAGCTGGAATTCCTTTCAGCCCATTGCTGTTGGCACCCTCGATGGTGTCCAAGGTCCCAGGGTAAGGTTGGGAACCCTGGGCTGGACYCTGCAGAGCAGGAGAACCTGCTCGAGGCTGTGGAGTTAGCCAAGGTAGCGACCACCACTTACAGCACGCACAAATCAGGATTTATTGTCACCCAGCTGCCAAGCCAAGCTTTTCCTTCTCGTCTTAAGTCCCCGTTGCTCTACC